TTTTGTTTGGCGTTTGTAGTTCTAAAAATAAAGTTAGTTTCTTTTTGACAAGTGGCTCCTGATTTGTGCCAAGCCAGACTTCGGCATTTCCATTTGATTTATTATTTTTTAGCATGTCTTAGTGACGTTTTCTTTAAATGAATATATAAGTTGGCCTGATACACTGCAGAGAAGCTGAGAATAAATGCCACTTTCAAAGAGAATCCCAGCACAGACCATGGTCTCTGAGATGCTGGTCAAGGTTTGTCCTATATCTGGCACATCTCTTGCAACTTCTTTTTGTGTTTTTCATTTCCACTTGTCTCACCATATCGAGTTCTTTACTGTCTCCCGTCCAAAAGCAAGACAATCTCTGTTTTTATCATCTCCCACTTCAGTGCATTCTCCATGTCAGTTTGAAATTCCTAAAACTTGGCATTTCCCTGCTCAGAAGCCATTTGTGCCTCCTATTTACTATAGAATTATTACTTTTAAATTCCTTGATCTCATCCCAACCTACTCTTCAAAAATCTGGTTTTCAAACTTCCTTTGAGGAACCTGTATAAGTTGTATGTGCTTAAAAATATCTGACTTGGATATTGCTACTGCCTCCCCTCCCTAAAAATGCATTCCACCTCATTTCCTTGTAACCAAATTGCATCCACTCTAAGTCCCATCTCCAATCTACCTAGGAAGACTTTCCTGCTCATCTATTCTGTCCTTAAATTCAAATTAAAAACTCTCTTTTCTGGGAATTTTACTTTATCCTTATTTTATTTATTTAAGACATTTTGGACTGCCTAAAAAAAAAAAAAAAAAAAAAAAAAAAAGCGCCAGGCATGGTAGCACATGCATATAATCCCAGCATCTTGGAAGGCTAAGGCAGGAGGATCACAAGTTCAAAGCCAGCCTCAGCAACTTAATGAGGGCTTAAACTACTTAATGAGACCCTGTCTCAAAATAAAAAACTAAAAAGAACTTAGTGGTTAAGTGCCTCTGTGTTCAATCCCCAGTACAAACAAACAAACAAACAAAAACGAGTACTATATTGAAATTCCTGTAGCATTTCCCCCAGAAATACAATGTTTGGGTTGAGAGTGAGGAGTCACTACATTTTTTATAAACTAAAAACAATTTTTTAAAAACAATTTTTTGTTTAAAAATGAAAAAATAAACAGATGCCTACGTACAACAGGTAAACAGTGCAAATAAGTTATCAATAAAAAAGTGAACCCGACACTCTTCTCCCAATCACTCCTAAATTCCCCAGACATTTTTTTTCCTACTCTGGGGATTGAACCCAGGGGTTCTCTATCACTGAGCTACATCCTAGTCCTTTCTATTTTGAGAGAAATTTTCATTAAATTTTGCTGAGTCTGAACTGGAACTTGTGATTCTCTTGCCTCAGCTTTACACGCCATTGAGGTTATGCCTGACTAACACAATCTCTCTCTCTCTCTCTCTCTTTTTTTTTTTTTACTCAAATAGGGTCATATTTTGCAGCTTGTCTTTTATTTTTTTAATTTTTTATTTATATATGACAGCAGAGTGCATTATAATTCTTATTTCACATATAAAGCATAATTTTTCATACTTCTGGTTGTAAACAAAGTATATTCACACCAATTAATGTCTTCATACATGTACTTGGATAATAATGTCCATCACATTCCACCATCATTTATAACCCCATGCCCCCCGCCCTTCCCCTTGTCTTTTCAACAACAATAAATCTTGGAGTTTTTTTTTCATAACATATGTGGATTTATCCAATCTTGCCTGATAAAATTTTGCTGATGGTATAGATGCCCTCCTAGAGACACTGAGACCCTTCCCAATTTGTGCAATCATAACTCTGAAGAAAATTTTTATTAGTAAAATCTTGAGCTACATCACTGGTTAAGAAGCCTGCATCAGTATGAGCATAAATGTCCTCTGCTCAACACTAATTACCTCTGGGTAGTTTTATTTTTTACTCCTCTCTTAAAGGTCCCACTACTTCTTAACATTGCCACACAGGGATCCAACCTTCCAACACACAAACTCTTAAGGGACAAACTGAAGCAGAAACTCCCAATGGCTACAAATGTATATAAAAACTTTCTCACCATCACTTTTCACTTGAAAATGTAAACTGAGAACACCTTAGGGCTATCAGGCTCATGCCTGTATCTCCAACACCATTTAAAGAATCGAACATATCCTTACATATTCTCTTAGTATTTATAGTCACTTTTGTCTTTACAGTTCTCAAGTTCTAAGAAGCACACAAGCTTATCCAAAGAATGATGAAGATTCTTTGCCTGGCCAGACTTTAGTCAAGCTTCTGAACCTTCTCCTAAGCCCATCTGTGTATTTCCTTATAAGAGTCAGCTATCAAAGAACTCTGCTAAGTCCATTTAGCAAGAACGCTTATCTTCAATATTTGATCAGCCTTAATGTCTGATCAGGTTCTTCATCTGCCAGCACACCCCTGTTGATGTATGATAACTCTGGCCTGTCTTCCTCTAGAATCCTTTTAGGGTAGTTTAGCTGTAATTCTTCTTATCTTAGCAATTTTTCCATCTACTGACTACTCCTTTGTTATACATTTTCACTTGCCCAATGCTGCATTCAAAGTTGAGCTCCATCCCTCTTCCTGCTGCAAATCCAGTTGCAGTGGTCAAGTGATCTGAATAAAGTTTTTCTCGCCATGCTCTAACAAGTGTCAATGAATAATTTCACTCTAACAGAAAACAATTGATTTTAAATTTTTCATAGGTAGAATAAAGGGTTTAGTTTTGTAAACAGGAAAATATACAAAGTCAGGAGATCTCCACTGATATCTGTTCAGGATGACTTTCTAAATTGAGTGTAAACAATTTCTTTCATCAAAATACCTCTGATATTCTGGCTTAGAATCTTACACTTAGCATAGACTCTGGAAATACCAGCTAAATTTTAATACAAACAAGTCATTTGAGAAATCTGGGTCTCTGTTTCTTTACTGATAAAATGCTGACTGCTTCTGCTTCTCTTGATATACCACAAGAAAAATGAAAAGAAATGATTTATGGTGAAGCCCTTTACAATCTAACAAAATATGAAACATTTGTATTTTTAAGTTTGAAAAAAGGCTGTAGCAGAAATACAATCTTTCAGATTGGAATTTTATAAGGGGCCCCTTCTCCATACCAAATAAACGCACCTGTGAAGGAGAGGATGTTTCTGACTTTTCTACCTTCTCTCTATCCTCACATGTTTTTCCTTCCCACCAGTGCCAATTCTGCAGCTACAGAGTCTGCTCATGTGGTATTTATACCAGGGAGAGGAGAGCAGGTAGAAGAGCAATGGGCACATCCCTTCTGTCCTGTCTTGGAAGCTTCTAGCTATTTGGGGCTGCAACACAGTGAAACACAATTCCTCGACTATGTGGCTGCCATTACTGCAACCAAAGCCAGATTTCTAATGTGCTGAAAATGAGGCTACTCACGAGACACAGAGGCACAGGGCTCCTGGCACAGACTCGCTGTCTCTTAGCAGAAAGTTGCCATCCACTCCTTCCTTAAGCAATAAGATCTCACAGTCTTGCTTGGTCAGAGGGCCGTGGTAGTAAGGTAGATCCATGAAGACCCTTCTTGTGTTTTAGTGGCCTGTTAACCTGAAATCCAACTCCAAGCCACGGGATGGCTCTGAACAGGGAAGAGGAGGCAGCTGGCTTAAAGAGGCTTGTGGAAATACCTCTCTTCCTCTAGTTGGGTGGGAAGGAGATGGGGTTGCTCAATGGAGCTCAGTGAGCTTCACAAGATTCAGGAAATGAGAATAGTGTGGGTGATAAAGTGGCCAACCCATGTTAGCCTATAAGTGACTCACCCACAAGCACGTGAGAACACATTCCAGTACAGTAGAATCTGATGCCACGACTGGGGCTGCAACACTGAAGACAAACTCCCCGAAACTGTGTTGCAGTTTATACGTCACCACCTACCATCAGTTTTTACCTTCTCTGGCTCTTGGTTTTTCTTTCCAAGGAACACACCACTGATTTTGCTTTTAATGGGTACCCATCTTCTGCCAAAGCTGCCGCTCATTAGGCTAGCTTAGCTCAGAATGGATATTCAAAAAGCATTTGGATGCTAAAAGAAGTGGATGTGTTCAGACATAACGGCCAGTTGAATGAGGAGCACTTCTACAAGTGAAATGGCATGAAAAATGTAAACATCAAAGGGAATAGAGAGCAATTGGACACCACGAGAAAAAACAGCACTTTCCATGCACAGAATTCTATCCATTAATGAACAAAGAAGCAGCTGAGAGAAATATCTGGTTATGCAAGACAGTGCAAGAATGCTTTTTCCAGATGGAAAAAAAAAAAAGAGAGAGAGAGAGAGAAAGAGAAACTACAACGGGGTTTGGAGACCCTCAGGTCCTTTGAGTCCCCATTCTGAAGGCCAGCAGTGATGTGTCCCATAAATAAAGACCAAGAAAAGACTGTCTGATCTGACAAAAATGTTTATTCTGCTTAAAACTCCTACTTGATGTGAACATTCTTTTTGATTTTTCCTGTGGAATTTTTCCAACCTTGATCAGCTGACAATCTTGGAGTAGGTAGGTAATTGTGTGGTTTCTGTTATCTGAGAATCAGAGTTAGCCCTAAAGTAATTTCAAAGGCCTTTAAGAAAAAAAAAACTACACTGATCTATGTATTATCAATTGCTTTTAATCAATTTCAGGTAGAATAAGCTTATGCAAGCATATCTGTCATTTAGTGTTTCAAATTCAATTGCCTTTACCTTTCAATTACCAGGACACAAAGTCAATTTTAAAATTCCCCTCCTTACTCACTACCTCCCTAAAATATCTATTGGAAATCACTATGTATTTTGAGTACATATCTAAGAATAGAGCTATGTTTATGACTATCCTTCTTTAAACTTCTTAACTCAGATGTGTACTTCATCTTGTTATTTGGCTTACAACACACTTGTGATATTTTCTGCATGGAATTTCCTTGTAACAGATCCTTGTTCTTTGGAAGTCCCATTGATCCATTATTTGGTATAATGGAGTTACATTGATCAATTAATTTGTTAGAAGAGAGATATGCTTTCAAATATAACTTTTCTTGTGTGACCTTGGATAATATGCTGCTTAACCCACTGGGAATTATGGTAGTAGCCAAGAAAACAATCATTGATGAAAGAGAAAATTTAGTACCAAGTTGGGGTAAATATTTTTTTCCCACTTCTAGCAAGAAATTTATTTATGTTTCATATATATCTTATACACATAACCAAAGGTCGTTTTGTATAATATTTTAGATGCTTCATACAGAGATATGAAAAATGGTATTCTATATGTGTAATAAGAATTGAAATGCATTCCATGGCTTTCATGTATTTAAAAAATAAAATCAATAAAAGATTTTTTAAAATATACTATTTTAGATATGCCTGTTTTTAAAATTTTTTATTTATTATTTTTAGTTATACATGACAGTAGTGTCTACTTTGACATACAAGCATGGAGTATATCTAAAGATGTTTTTTAACATAAAAGAGAAAATGACTGAATGTATCCTCAGGATCTTTGCTATCACAGGGGCTTTCTTGCCTTTTCTTCCTTACTGAAAACCTACTTCCCCATCCTCACTTATAACAAGAGAAATGCAAATTAAACCCATACAGAAGTAACATGTCTCATTTATACTGGTAAAAATAAGAAGCTTGAAAACATACTGGGTTGGTCATGGTGGGAGTAAATAGAGTGTCTCATGTATTATTGTAATGGCACCCTCTTTTCCCACAGAAAAGTCTTAACTGGGTTTCTCCAAAAATCTTCACCACAGCTGATTTTAGGACTGTCAGCAAAAGAGTCTATGCAAAAGAGTTCAATGTAGATAAACTTCCTATTTTCATATTGCCCTATTTTACTTGGCCACTGGCCAGGAAGAAATCAGAACTCTAGGTGCTAGCCACTCCCTTACTAGTTTTTCATAATCATATCCAATATAGTAGTTTGTAGAAATGTGCAAACAAGGCCTCTGGCCTTGAGCTGGGCTTCACAGAGAGATGTCTATATTTTTAAGATAAGTTACCAATTTGGCTCCATAGTAACAGCTGGCAGAGGAAGAAAGAAAGGGGAGAAGAAGCTCTCCCCTTCTCAGGTGCTGTCCCGGAAGGGTTAACTTGCCTAAAACAGTGAAAGAAAAAGCTGCTTTTATGTGAATTTCTGCAGACTGTGAACTTCTGAGCCCCTCCCCTTACATGCTGGGTATAAAACTCTGAAACTCCCTGAACTCAGGGTTCAGGGGATTGATTGATTACAGCAAAAGCTGTTCCCTCTGAACCTGGCTGCAGCCAAATAAAACTATTTCCTTCTATCTTCAGTGCCTTGCCTCTTTGTCTCTACAACATTATTGGTTGGAATACTAAATGGTTGCAACTCCAATTGAAGAGAGCTTAGCGATATCTAGTAAAGTTACTTATATTTATCTTCTAATAGAATAATCTCCATTCTAGGAATCTAAAAAAAAAAAACTGCACAGACAAAAATACAAAAAGATTCATGCAAATTGTAGGAAGAGATTACAAGCAACCCAAAGACTGGTGAATGGAAGATTAAGTGAATAAACTGAAATGCATCTAAATAATGCCAATTACTATACAGAGCTATTACTATATAGAGTAAGGAAGATCTTTATATACTCATTTGGACCAATCTTCAGAATACATAGTTTAGGTAGAATAGTAAAGCTCATAATAGCATGTAAAGTATGGGACATATAAACAAATATATCAATCTTTATATTTTCTCAAATTTGCACAAAACCCACTGGAAGAACAGAATTAAAACCAAGTAAAGGGGCTGGGGATGTGGCTCAAGCGGTAGCGCGCTTGCCTGGCATGCGTGCGGCCCGGGTTCGATCCTCAGCACCACATACCAACAAAGATGTTATGCCCGCCGAAAACTAAAAAATAAATATTAAAAAATTCAAAAAAAAAAAAAACCAAGTAAAAATAAGAAGTCTATGAGGACAGAGAGGAAACATGCATACAAGTGAGACTTCTCTAAGTGAAACTTATTATATAGCTTTGAACACGAAATCATGTAATTGTTTTATTAAAACTTAAAAAATGTCTTTTCTTTTTTCTTTTTTTGGTACTAGGGATTAAAATCAGAGGTGCTTAACCACTGAGTCACATCCCCAGCCCTTTTTAAAATATTTTATTTAGAGATAGGGTCTTGTTAAATTGCTCAAAACCTTGATAAGTTGGTGAGGTTGGCATTGAACTTGTGATCCTCCTGCCTCAGGCTACCAAGTCACTGGGACTACATGTGTGTGCAACCCTACCCAGCAGCAATTGATGAAAACTTTAGGAAAACATTTAATAATTACCTTTCCAATAGATGGATAAAGCTTTTACTGCCTGAATCCATTGCATCCCTAATAGAAGGTTACCCAGACATTGAGCACCTTATTTTTTGATGCAGCAGGAAACACACAACACTACTATGAAGGATGTTTTCCAAAAAAATTGATCCTGAAACTAATCATACCCTTATAACTAAATTCTAGTTTATGGGAACAAAGCAATAAATTAGAACGCATTATGAAGAAGCAGATGAGCCAATCCAATTCCTGAATAGAACAATGAATTTGTTTATTTATAAGTCATAAGAACTTAGTCAGATATGGGGTGAGGCCAGCTCTAATTTGAAAGAGATTTATGAGGATCTTGTTTGGATTCTGGTTTGAAAAAATCAAATATAAAAAAGAAAATTCCTGCCATTGGGGAAACTTAAGCATTGGTTCCATATTAGATGATATCAAGGAATTATGTTTAATTTTTTTCAGGTAAAGTAGTGGCAATATATTTATGTGAATTAAGCTATAAATTTTGGAGACATATATTAAAGTGTTATGTCTGACCCTAAGTGGATTATGCCTGGGGCTCATTATATGGATGTCTTTACTTCTTGTGCATGTTGAAAACAGTTTCACAATAAAACCCTTCTGTTGCCATGTTATTCTGATTTGATGTCACCTTGAGAATAGCTTCACAGCACACAGCAACATCTTTAGTTTTTCACATGGGACCCTTTTTTCCCATCCATGGAATAAAAACTTGGTGCCAGAACATGACCCTACCCCTCTGGCCATACTTGACTGGACGAATGGTATATCCCTGATCCCCAAGATGAGTTAATTATCCAGAAATTTGGAGGACATGAAGGAAAGAAAAAGGTGGAGAGGGGATATAAAAATGGAAACAAGTTGTCTAGGAATGACTTATAACAAGTATATTTTTGCACTGTATGCTGGAGGTTATACCAACAAGCAACCAGTCCACAAAAGAGGCATGATATAGACACATGGACAGAAAAAGAGCCAAGAGACACCCCTGATTGGATTTCCCATAGGTTTTTCACTTCCTGGATCCAGTGATTTCTAAGGTCTGGGTATACTCTTGCCCTTAGATTCTTTGTCATTTTAATTAGATTCCCTTTTATAATAAATTGGTTGGCATTTTATTTTCTACTAAAGATGTCAATTAAAAGCAGCATTATAGACAAAATTCTATTACTGAGACCAGAGGAGCATGAGGCCAAATATGAGCCACATGGTTACATAAGTGAAAACAGAAACTGGACATTGTGTGTCAACACCAGAAGGTCTAAGAATATCACTAATCATGGCAATTTAGTGAGTGCTTAT